CACAATTTTTTTAGAATGCCTGAAGATTGACCATTTTTCTTATCCTTATCAATGTAGAGAAAGTGACCAGCCAGCGAATGAGTTGAGCCAAGGTTATGAAGGCTCACAAATTAAACATAAGCTTCAATCTTTTGGGAGGAGATAAACACGTCTCCACAAAAGACATCTCTTGGCATCAAAGGTTGTAAGGACATTATAACAATGAACATCAGAAGCAGGCTTCACTGAGGTGGCACAACAGCTACAGAGAAGGGTCAAAAAGAAAGAAGTATGTTTCACACCAGCCCTGCTCTTGCTGAGACAAGGAGGTGCCAGACCCACCAGATACAGCCACCAACTGTCAAACTGCGGCCACCTTATTCTGTTGTAAACAATAGGAGACAGTACTTCTCTGTTTCTGAAACTTCAATTAATCACCTGCATGCAGCCTCAGACTGAATTCAGACTGAATTCAGCTCTTATCTTCTAAGAGCTTCATAATGCAATGGAACTTTCTATGATTTTGAAAATAGTCTATAATCTTCCTTTTCTAACATAGTACACTCTAGCCACATGTAGGCTACCCAGGCCACTTAAATATGAGTGGCGCAGTGCAATTGAGGAACTGAATTTTAATTTTATAGAGTTTTAGTTAATTCCATTGTAAATAGCTTTATTTACAAGTGGGTCCTACATTGAATAGCCCTTAGAGGCTGAAAACATAGGGAGGACAAGATTAGGAAGGTGGATCACCAAACAAGAAAAATAGGTCTTGAGGTGAGCCCAGGCCTTTAACACACGAAACTTGAATGAAGACACCCTCGCCCTTCAAGAACGTCTTGATATCTGAGTATTAACTGGCAGCTGTGTCTGGGTTCTCCGTGCTACAATCACAATGACAGTTGGCCAATTAAGATATGGACACACAGAGCCTTGGTTGGGCTTAGTATTCAGGGAATGCATAAAAGCTTGCTTCTGGCTCAGTTTTTTAATAAGACCAGATGGGTTTATGCAAGTCTTCTGGTCTGACCTGGGGCAGAGAGTAGAGTGGAAAAGGTTGCAGATTGCAAAAGCACAGTTCAGAAAGAATATGATACGTTTTAAGGGCATTGCCGTCCTTTCTTTTCCACAGGGAGCAAGAATAGTGATAGTTTGGAGGGGATTCTGAGGATTAGAAAAAGAGAAGATTGAACATGTTTGCCCAGAACACAATGCAACAGATCCCCTCAGGCATCCAGCCAGTTATCTCAAAAGGATCCTTTGTCATTTCTAAGATAAGGCTTGTAATTCATCAGGCACCTGATGACATGCATCTGACATGAGCAGATACAGTGCCATTTACCTGTGGCTGGTCTGTTTGGTAATCCAGGTGAGAAGGAGGGGTTACTGAAGCCCTTGGTGGCAACTGTTAGGGCAGGATCTAAGAGAAGAAGAGCCTACACTTGCCTTCCACTCTGGTCCCTGACATCTCTAGGACAGAAAATGGCAGCCAGACACTGATTTTCTTAACTAATGGCAAAACGAAGCGAAACTGTGACCATGCTGACTTGGGCACAGCTTTTGCAGGTGAGAAGTAGAACAGATGACAGATGGTAGAACTGGAGTGGCCAGAATCATATTACAATATGATAATTAATAGCTCTGGTGAATTGCTAACTCTTTTATCTGGAAAGTGGACTGTCATGTATGTAGATTGCCCAGTTGGAGCAATGACCCGCCTTTTGTGGCGGGTTCCGTCCCAAGGGCACCGAGAAGTCAGCACTGTGAAGTTCTTGGAAACCACTAGGAGTGATGGTGCATTCTGTAACTGACACCATTTTGGTAGGCTGGAAAAGAGGGCAAGGTTTGTGACTCAGACGGAATGTGGTGTGCTGGAAAGAACACAGGCATGGAGTCCTGACACACCTAGCTGTAAACATCTGTTTTTCCGTGTATACTTTGCATCAAAATCACCTGGGGAGCTTGTTAAAATTACAGATTCCTGGCCTCTACATTGACCTACTAACCACAGCCTTGGGCTTGGAGCTACAAAGTTCTCTGGTTTTTAAGTAAGTACTCATGGTGACTGTGATTTGAGGCTGCTCGAAACCCAAGCTCTCTAAAAAGGTGACTTCTGACTGAGTCTTAGAATTGTGTGTGAATTGTGGCTTATTAGACACATGGTTACAAAAAAAAGAAAATTCAAGGACTCAATAACTTGTAGCTGTTATCATGACTGAGCCATGGATTTGCCTTACTTCAGACACTGTTCTGTCTTTGGAAATCTCTATAGACGTCACTTGCCTTGCTAAGCCTTACTCACTATGCTAAGACAATGGGAGAATATTCAGCCAAATTAGCTGCTATCCCAAACTTGCAAGTCGCTGTTCCTGAGGATGGATGAAAGCAGTCTTTTCCTTTTTTCCTATAAATGTTCAGGACCCTGTGTAAAGTCTCTTTCAGTTCAGGAAGAATTCTACTGGGGGTGAAAACATCAATTACACTGTAAAGGTTGTCTGTCCAGGGATGTAAGTTGGATCCACCAGAGAATGGTAATTTGTTCTGGCCCTAGAGATGCTTCCCCCCAGGGCTCAGGGCAGCTGCCTTCTGTGTGGCACATCATGCTTTTGTTTGGTAGCGAGAAGCTTGAAGAAAGGGGAGTGCGGGAGGGGGCTGGCATTGGGCCCTGGAGCTCAAAAGAGTGGCAGTAGCCGCAAACCCAGCAGGCTGTGAACTGCTGGTGCTGAGATTTAAGGAGGGTGGTGCTGCCAGAGGAGGATGTGCACGTGAGACCTGAGCGAGCGGTGCGCCTGGAGCGGCTCAGGTAGGACAGAGGAGCGCCCTCCTCAAACCTGCACACTCTCCTCGGGCCTCCAGATACGGATTGGCTTGGGCAGCGAGAACGGCGAGGTCAAGACCCCTCGGGCGCCTTCCCTGACCCGCCCCGCCCGTGGCGTTGGTGTCGCGCGGCGGGGGCGGGGCTGAGCGGGGGCATGCTGGCGAGGCGGAGGGGCGCGAGTGGCAGCGTGCGGGGCCCGGAGCTGCGCCTGGCCCCGGGCGCCCGGGGACCGATGGCGGAGCCCGAGCGCGCCGCCAAACCGGGGAGGTTTGCGCTCCGCTCGCCGCGCTGCAGGGAGGGCGCGGTGCCAGGCGCGAGCGCCGAGAAATCCAAAAAGAAAGCTTTTTATTTGCTGAGAATGAAGCCCCCGAAGGAATCCGCCCCCAGCAACAACAACGTGTCCTTTGTGATCCACTGTCAACTAGGCAAGGAGATCAAACACATTTGCAGCAACTGCAGTCGGGGGGAGGACGCCCGGGACGGTGAGTGCCGGGGCGCGCCGGGGAGGTGGCGGCTGCGAGCGCGGGAGACGGGAAGGTGGCTCTGCGGGTTCGTGGGTCGCCAGTTTAGGCGCCGCCACGGGAGTCTGCTGCTTGAAGAACTGCGGGGGCATCCGCCGTCTACCCAGGCATGACACCCGCCCGCCCGGCACTTTGCAGAGTGCCACCCACAGCCAAACCGGCTTGCAGCCCTGCGTGTACCGGAGATATAGGTGCTCCCCCAAGTGAGGGCTGTAAAGAGGTTAAAGGAGCAACTCTGGATTTTTTATTTGGGAAGGTGGGTGTTGGGGATTTGTTGGTAGGTAAATTATTAGCTTTAAAAAAAGAAAAAGAAAAAAGAGGTTACACCTGGCTTTTCCTCTCAGTGGGGCGCCTTAACTGATCTCCCATACTTGCGTTATGCTGGGATATAGAATTTGCTGGGTCGCGTGACAGATGTGGCTTCCTTCGGGTGGGTGTACTTTGGAGAGGTGATTTGCCCTTGGCCTTTGCGGCGCCCAGCGCCCTAAAGACTTGTGGAGTTGTGTGGAATTATGTCTGTTTAGAGAGTAAAATATGGCTGTGATTTTTGGAATGCTGCTGCCTGTCCCTCTTGGAATGATGCTAATGGCAAGAGATGGGAAGGTGGGGGAGGCCCGCAGGGTCATCTTCCAGGTGAGCTTGGCGTGTGTGAGCCAAAGAGCTCCCTCAGATGCTAGGTAAGATGGGGTGGTGAAGGGGTGCCGGCTGCCAGCGGCACTAGGCAGAGGGAGCCCAGAACAAGGGACAGCTGGCGCGGATCAGGCTGAAGCCTCTGCAGATGTGGACGCGCCTGGGTGGTGGTGGTGCATTTGCAAGAACCCCTAGGCGGTTCCCCAGCAGCTCCCGAACAGACTCCAGAGAGCCATTGAAGGTCGCAGAAAAGTTTTAGGCAGCAGATTTACAGGGAAAGCATTAGCTACTGGCCAGACTGGAGCTCCGCTCCACACTTATACACCTGCTTGGGCAGGCAGATTTTCCTATCAACCAGGAGGTTACACTTGTTCCCTTTGGAAGAACAGATATTACTTAGAATCCCTCTGTTCTTTGTGGGCCTCTGAAGTGCTGTGTAATGAAGTGACTGTGGCTTGGCTAATGTCTTTTCAAAATTAGAGTCCTGCTACTGTAATTATAGTTTTCTTTGATTAAAATGCAAGGGAGGCTGTGTGCACGGAGCAAGACACCCTGGAAGGG